GGGCAATGGAACGTCTGCTCCATCGTCGTCGATTGGGGCATCGGGTTCGCCTTCTCCTGGCGTTGTGCGTTCACTGCCATTCAGCAGGCTGGAGAATTGTTCCCTCCATAATTTAAGTATGCTCTGGGCATCGGTTAGTAGATCACATTAGGGGGTTCTACACACATTTCGGCCTCTTTCTTTTTCTGTTTGCAAATGCGTATCACTTCCCTCTTCAACTCTAGGTATCTATCCCAACCCGCACATGTTCTGATCGATCGTAACGTTGCTACGTAGGCAGCCTGTTTTCTCTCCCCGCTGCGATACGGGATTCCTCGCCGTGCCAGCTGTTCTTTTGCACTTTCCGAAAACCAGTGGTTTCTCAGTGCTCTCAGATTGCAGCTTCTCGACGTCGAACCTTCCTTGTGTTTGATGGCGTGCGTTTCTTGCTGCACAGAGGTGGGTGCGAATCTTGGCTGCAACAAGAGAGTGGTCCAAGCCGATGTTAGGACTTCGGAGCGCACGCATATCTAAAACACTAGAGACGTGTCTTCCGTCTATCACAACATGATCTATCTGGTTAGTGGTTTTTCGAGACAGCCAGAAAACTTAATGTATTTTCTTTTGCTGGAATCTGGTACTACATATAACCATATTTCGGGTCCCATCGAAGTCGATCAGCCTCAACCTGTTTGGGAATGTTTCCTAGTGGAGGCTAAATTTACCGACCGTAGTGCCAAAAATACCTTCTTTGCCCACCCGGGTGTTATGGTCGCCAAGCATGATTTTGACATCGTGGCGGGGGCACCTSTCATAAGTGCGTTCCAAGCACTCATAAAAGGCATCTTTGGTCACATCATCCTTCTCTTCCKTCCAGGCGTGAGCGCAAGTCAACGATATGTTGAATCCGCTTTGATGCGGATTGTGGCTAGACGTTCATTCACCGGAGTGAATGATAGTAGTCGGCGACGGAGTCTTTCTCCCACCACGAATCCCATACCAAACTTGCGCTCCTTTATATGGCCACTGTAGTAAATGCCACAAGGACCTACTCGTTTCTGTCCTTGTCCCGTTCATCGCATTTCTTCGACGGCGGTGATGTCAGTATTTATTTTCACGAGGACATCAACCAGCTAGACAGTGGCACCTTTTCAATTAATGGACCGGACATTCCAGGTGCATGGCCTCAAATCATATTCCTTAATTCGTTTGCCATGGTCTTCATCAAAAGGGGGGTCACTCATCCGAGGCTTGTTGTTTCCTTTCATTGGGGGTAGTTTTTTTTACGTGGCGACTTCCAAACCCAGCGCACAATCCAATGTAGGGGATATTTCGCCTTCTCACTTTAGCTCGTCTTCAAGCGGATTCTCTTAGGCTACCCAGAGGATACTTGGTCAAAGACCGGAAGTCGTGAGCTGCTTGAGTCATATGTAAAATAAACATTTCTGGCCACTCCCAAGTGAATTGCGATCAGAGGACTTTCCTCACTTCTACACATGACTCTATCCTCCTTCATGCATACATACATACATAATACGCACAAGGTTTCTTTTCTTTGTTTATTCTCTCGTGTTCTTCTAGTTTGGATCATTCACAATGCATAACCAGCTGTTAAAATTACTTGA